AATATGACAAAATTCCTTAAAGTATCGAAGTAACTGCAACGTATTTGCTTTAGCAAACAACTACAAATGCAAATTCAAAAGAAAACAGCTGACATTAGAAAAATCAATCTTTGTATTTACAAAAAGTCCTCATGGTGGGAGATGAGCTGCTTGCTTCACATTTGGAGTTTGTTAATTTGCCTAAACTAGAGTTTCAGCAATGCTATTGAACTTACAGATGGACTTCTAAAGACACTTGGGATAGGGATTAAAACTGTGATTTCATTGATGTAGTGAAATCTTCGAGGAAGAAACTCATGGACATATCACTTACCTTCCCTGAAATGTATAGTCTTAGAGATCTGTTAAGCACACTGATCAATAGATTAGGTGACTTGCCCAGGATCACACAGCTAATATATGTCAAAGGCAGGACTTGAATGCCATTTTGCCTGCTTCTGAGGCCAGTTTCTATGCACTCTGCCACTCTGATTTTGTTTAAACCACTAATGTCCTTTGTTTCAATTATATTCATTCCCCCTTTGCTCATGGTATATGTGGGTCGATCATGACTTTGAGGGAAGGATAGGGCAAAGGTATCTTAGAATCGGTATGAATTCTAAGTCTTGTGAGTCAGTTCATGGACTAAGAATTACCTAATATATCCCTCCCACCCCGCTCCCCTTTAAAAACAGAAAATAGGTGTGTACAGTATTCAAATATTTTTCAAGCCAAAGTCTGATTTCCTTGGGGATAATTTCCTACCTGCTTTCCTTTATGCCCTGATCGTTGTGGGCAGTATGTATTTGCACGGCTGGAAATGATAGTTCAGGAACTGAGGAATGGATTCATCTTTTGACAGCTATAGTTGAGTTTTCATCCTCAGATTCCAGTGCTGTTCTTATCACGTCTTTCTTGCGGTTCCATATAAAACTGCTTCTCCCATTGCAACCATAGCAAAAAGCCCTTTTTGTCTGCATATAAAAAGTCAAACTTTCTCATCCTCCTCAAGTATAGATCATAGCTGCTCTGAGAAAGGAGAATCTCATAGACGTGTCCTTAGATGTGGCCTTAGTACTCTTTCCAGCAGGTCCATGAGCATTGCTGAATTTGGCTCATACCTATCCAAGGTAAGCAGTTTCAAGGACATCCCTGGGAACTGTGGGATGCTCAGGCAATCCGTTCCAATTTCTGAGAGGCCACATCAGAATATGCAAAAGTAGGAAAATTGGTATTTTCAAGAATAATTTGGTTTCCATGCTTCAGTTTTAGTAGAACAGAGAATATCTTGGAGAAACAAATGTGGGGGTTTCCTTCTAACATATTCCTTAAATTGACTCCATATCTCGTGTCAGAATCCTTGAGTATAGGGGCCCACATAAATTTGCATGCATAAAACAATTTAAAAATGGTTGATTTTTACAAGAAAATTATTTCACTTTTGTATTTATATCCCAGTGGGTTGAAAGGTACATAGTGAAACCAAATATGTCATGAGGCATTCCCTGTCGGAGGAATTTATCACAAGAAGGGGGATAGGACGTTACCGTGATAATCTTAACTTCCACCTGGGCTGGATCTGAAAATTATAGACTGGCCTCACAAGGTAAATTGCAGCAAATTTTTCTGAGTTTGATTTGATCCTCCATAAAGGTCATAAAATCATAGCATCATGGATTTAGAGCTGCAAGAGACCTCATTTAGTCCTAACCTTTCATTTATAGATAATGATGATGATGATGATAACTAATACTTATATAAAGCTTTAAGGTTTCTGAAACATTTAATCAATATTATCTCATTTGTCCTCATGATGATCCTGGGATGTAGGTGCTACTATTATCTTCATTTTACAGATGAGGAAACTGAGGCAGACAGAGTGTAAGTGGCTTACCAAGGATCGCACAGATAGTGAGTGTCTAAGGTAGGCTTTGAACTCCACTTTTCTTGACTCCAGGTCTAATGCTCTATGCCTTGTACACTTACTAGCTATACGGCCCTGGGCAAATCACTTAACCTGGTTTACCTCAGTCTCTTCATCTGTAAAATGGGGATAATAATAACACCTTCCTCTTAGGGTTATTCTGAGGACAAAAGAAACAATAACTGTGAAGCACTTAGCACACTACGAGGCACATAGTAAGTTATTGTCATTTAAAGTCAAAAGTAGATTATAAAGCAAGCAAAATTGAAAAAAACAGTCCCTGTTTACCACTTTAGGTTTCAGTAATTTCCCTATATCAACAGAAGCCTTTGAGGCTTTATTTTGTGGACCGTACTTAATTGCATAGAGCATCTTGGCTTCCAGGAGTATTTCCATGTTAAGATCACATATTTCAGCTTCACAGCATTTTGGCCCCATTCTATGATAATTTGAGTTCAATATATTTTTCATATACAATTTCAAACTATAGACTTCAAACTCTAAATAATCAAGATTAGAAATATTGTCCAATGATTAAGCATCCAGAATTTTGCCGTAAATACTTCTAAAAGCTAAGTTTATCCTAGCTACCCAGTGGCAAATGTGGATAAGAGAGTGGTAAGCTAGAGGGAGAAAAAGAAACACAATTTCAAAAATAGCAAAGTACTATTACATAAAAAGCAGTGATATATGCAAATATTTGAACTATAGGCCATAGCAGTAAGGAGGGCTCAGATTTCTAGGGGACAAATTACTAAATTAATTATGTATTATATAAGCATTTCACATTATATATAATATAAATATTAATAATAACATATTATTACATATGCAATAAGCATTAGATTTCACATTTAATTATATCAATAATTCCAGTTCATGTCACTACTTTTGTTTTGCTTTAAATGACTAATGGTTAGCTTCCCTATATAGAAGGAAATTATATATACATTTACAAAATTCATATAACTTTTAAATGTCATTAAATTTTTTCTTTAAAAACTTTCATTGATGTGTTTTATTTTTATGTCACCTTCATCTCTCAATATATCCTTCCCTTTCTTCTCCATCCATCTCTTTTATTTTTATTTATTTTTTAAAAATAGTTAAATATATCATTTTAGATGATGAAGAATTTCTAGTATTTCTAATTCTCATTTGTTCAGCTAATAGCTTCACCCACCTCCAACCCCACCCTGAAAGATTGGTTTCTGAACTTTCTCCCAGTTAAGAGTTTGTAGCTTAAGGTTTAGCACAATTTAAACATTCAAGAGGAAGTTCCTTTGTTTTTATCTGATGTATAGCTTGCTTGTACATTGAGTAAAGGACTGTCTTATACCTTTCTTTGTATCTCTAGCACTTAGCACACACAATGCCTGGCATATAGGTCCTTAATAAATGCTTATTATTACTATTAAAGAAAATTCTTCAGACTATTCATTGGAAGATCGAATACTAAAGCTGAAGCTTAACTATTTCGTCCACATAATGAGAAGACAGGACTCATTGGAAAAGACCCTGATGCTGGGAAAGATTCAAGGCAAATGAAGATGGAGATGTCAGAGAATGAGATGGTTGGATAGCATCATGGAAACAATGAAGATGAGTTTGAACAGATTTTGGGAAATAGTGGAGGACAGAAGGGCCTGGCATGCACTGGTCCAGGGGGTCATGAAGAGTTGGACACCACTGAACAAATGAACAATAACCAAAATGCTTGTTAGAGTGCTCTAAATATTCTCTGTTGACCTTGTCTTAAAGACATATACTTTAATTAATGAAATAAGTCATTAACATATTGCTTGGCACGTAATAGGTGCTTAGTAAATGCTTACTGACTCCTGGAAATAGACTTTTAGATAATAAGAAACAAAATGTTAACAACTACTGTCACAATGTCTTAAGGGTTTATACTATAGGCACCTGTTATAAGTGTTATTGAAAGAAACTAATTTCTCAAAGCTGATAACTATTACCTTTTCATATCAAAGGACTTTTCTCCCCACAGTCCCCTTTTCTGTGGATTAAATCTGAATTCAAAAGACTTGCTATAATGCTGAGTTTCTAAAGTTTCTTGTCCCATTATTTTACATTAAGAACTGAATTTTCACATTATAGCATTGGCTTAGAATGATTTAACATAAAAACTGCATGCTTTTCCATTTCAAAATTATAGTTTAAACATTATCATACATAGTATTCTAAATCTTTTTAAAGCACACAGGCAGTTTTACTTTTGTACAGAAAATTAAAAAAAAACTTCCAATGCACTTTTTTCAAATATATTTGCAATATCACACTGAATACATTCTTTAAGACTCAAAATACAATGTTTTCCCCAGCAATAAAAAAAAATTGCAATCTCATTCAGAAACAATTAACTCAAAGGGAAACATTTAAATAAGTATTTTTGAAAAATGATGAGGCAGCAAAAGGAATTAATTTGTTTTTAATAATCACTTGAATATCATAAGAAGAAATCCAAATGATTGTTTTCCATTTTGAGAAACCCTTTAGCACAATTAATGACACTCCACAGTTCTACTCTGAATAAAAATTATTTACCTCATCCTAGGGAAACACTAAAGAAATAAATACCTATCCATCATTTAGGAAAGTAGAGAAACTCCTGTATTCTATCATTTCACCTCTTAGAGTTTTGCCATAAAAGTCCTCATAAAGGTTGAACACAAATTTTCAATCCATTTCTAATTTAAATACCTGATAAAATCATCCCGAAATACAACAGATCCATTACAAATATTGTGCACATTTTAAAAACCTGACTTTAACTATTTTAGTGTGCTTGGGACTCTTCTTCTCATGGCACAAGTATTATCATGTGCACTAAGACTTGCTTCTTCTTTGTTTCTTTTTCAAGGCAGTAGTATTTCAGGAGAGCAGGAGAAGAGAGCCCTCCTTCCCTACTCTGAATTCTGTTTTCTAAGCACTTCACCGTGAGTAGCCAAATTCAGATGAATAGCTCCTCCCACATGAATTTAAAATACCTAGCTGTTTGAGAAGTTTATGATACTTTCTTACTGAAAAACTTTCACTTTCTAAAAAGGCAACTGCAACTAAATTAATTGATACTTACAAGTCACATCAACATAAGTGGGTAGAGACTGGAAAACCCTTTTTTAAGATCCAGGTTGATCAAGCCAAGATAAGAAAGGCTTTTGCTCAGCAAGTCTCCAATTCAACTAAGAGCTGTTTTTATCATCTGCAAATAAAACAAAATGAATGTAACACAGCTTCATGAATATTCTTACACATTCAGGGAAAATAAATCAGAATTCAAATGTAGTTGTACTTCCCTCCCCCATCCTCCCTTCTCCCCCTCCCTGGCCCCCCTTATCTTAAGTGCACTCTCATACCAGTTAGATCTTGAGAGAATAATAAATCATACAAATACTGTAGTTCCCTAACTGGAACTTAAACAGACTGGTCCTCTTCATAGACAAACATGGTAAAGACACTGAGGCAACAGACCTTGGGGGAGGGATATGGGAGTCCCAGCCCGCCTGCAGGCAGGAATAATCAGCTAAGCTGGGAGAGGGGGAAAAAACTGACAGAAAATCCAAAAGCCAGAGACACACAAGGAAGGAATGAAGACAGCCAACTCATTCTCACTTAAAAGTCTCAACAGCTTTGAGACACTGAAGAAAATATGCATGTTGTCTCTGGGAACAGAGAGACACTTAAACAGACCAATCTTCCTAAAACAGCCAGTCAGGCAGCTGATAAACATTTACTAAGTTCCTACTATGTGCCAGGCACTGTGCATAAAGAAAGGTAAGAGGCAGTGCCTGCTCTCAAGGAACTCACAGTCTAATAGACAATACATAAACAGCTAGGTACATACATAAGCTCCATGCAGAAAATATTAGAGATAATCATTAGTGAGAAGGCACCAGAATTATGCCAGATACACTAGAAAGCACCAGTTAAGTGTCTGAGGCCAGATGTGAACTTACAAAGAAGAATCTCCCTGACTCTTGGCTTGGCACTCTATCCATTTACCACCCAGCTACCCCAATTATCCTATGCCATTGCTCTAACCCAAATGCCCCCAAAATGCAGACATCTGCTAAGATACATTTCAAGACTTGAAAAATCAAGAATAAGGCAAGTTTGCTAAACAGGTAGAACAGCATGACCCAATAGAAATAATAAGAAAATGAATATCAACATTAGTTCAATAAATGCACAAATATATAGATGTCCCCCATTGGGCAAAGTTTGTGCCATGGCTATTTAGGCCATCTCTCTTTCTTTCTCTACTTTTATGTCCTAGAAATATCTCAGCCAATCAGGAGCCATGTTTTCTTGCATACATACAGTGTCCCAGGACTGTCTTACATGGGGAAGGGACTACATATATATATGTATGTTGATGTAATATTTATATCTATTTCCAGATAGATATGGATACCGGTATCTCTCTAGATATCTTTAGATATAGAAATATCTCTATATCTATAAACAGATATGGAGAGATCTCTATTTCTATTTATAGATTATATATTTCTTAAATCTATAGAAACATCTAATCTAGCTATAGATTAGATATTTCTATATATCTCCCAGTTATACATATGTATGTGTATATATACATATATATATACACACATACACATTTATATAGTGATGTCTCTATGTCTATCTATAGAGTAGATACTTACATAATATATGGAAATATATGTTCTACACAGATTATATTTCTATATATCTCTCAGTTCTCTCTCTATATATGTATACACACAAATTTATATAGAGATTTCTCTGTACTATCTATGTAGATAGAGGATTCTTGGATTCTTGCAGGTCACTCCTAAGTTGAACCTTGAAGGAAGCCAGGATTTTAAAAGACCAGAGATGAGAAAGGAAATAAGTTATTAAAAGAAGAGAGAATTGGCTGGGTAAAAGCATGGCAGGAAATGGAAGGCCAAGTTTGAGAGAGAACCAATAGGGGAGTTTGCCTGAAACTTAGAGTATGTGAAGGCAAATACTATCAAATAAAGCTGGAAAGGATGGTTGGCCTCAACTCTAAATGTCAATTAGAGGAGTTTACATTTTATCCTAGAGGAAATAGGAAGCTACTAAATCTTTTTGAACATGAGAAGGATGTACTGCTATCTGTTCTTTCCCAATACTTATTTAGTAGCTGGTGATAATCAACTGAAGAGAGTTGAGTCAGTGAAACCAACCATGAAGTTACTGAAGAAATCCAGGTAAAAATGTTGAGGCCTTGAAACACAGTAGTGGTCAGGTGGAAGTAAAAATATTGTAGTCACAGAATAAGAACACTTGGTGACCAATTAGCAATTGAGAGAGAGGAAGAGGGAAGAGTCACGGATAACTCCAATGAGCCTTGGTTCAAGGCAATGAACCTCAGCAACTAGTAGGGAGGCCTTCAACAGAAACAGAGAAGTTTGGAGAATGGGTGAGTTTATGTGGCAAGACAATTAATTCCATTTAGATGTGTTGAGTTTAAAGTGCCTATGAAATATTTGGGTGGAAGGGTCCAATAGGTGGTTGGCAATGCAGGATTGAGGCTCAGGAAAGAGATAAAGCATGGTTATGGAGTGGTGTGAGGCATCTACATGGAGAAGAAAATTGCACTCTTGGGAACTGATAAGTTCACCAAGAGAAAGAGTATAATGAGATAAGAATAGAAGACCTAACACATAGCCTTGGGGGAAATCCACCATTGGGACAGGGATGTGGATGATGAGGCAGCAAAGGATACCGAGGAGTGGTTATATGGGTAGGAGGGCAATCAAGAGAAGAAGGTCGTAGGGCTCGAAGAAGGAGACAGTATTGAGGAGGAGAGGGTATTCAAAATTATCAAGAGCTGCCAAGAGGTCAAGGAAAATGAAGACTGTCAAAAGGCTGCCAATCAGTAAATAAGAGATTATTGGTAATCTTCGTGAGTAGGGTGGTTGGGGTCAGAAGTCAGATAGGAAACTTCAAAAAGTTGAGGTAGGGGTGAGTGGCACCTGGGAAGACAGGTAAAGATAGAATGAATATACATTACTGTGAGGATACAGAATATGTCTAGGAAGAGTGAAGCAGAGGGAATGATCAAAAAAGAAAAGTTAAGGGTAATGACGAGGATAAGGATCGACAATTCTTGCGTGTGGCTAATATGGACTAAAGGTGTAGGTTATGGAAGTTTAGGATACTGTCTATATTTTGCCCTTTGTTTTCAACATTTCTAGGTAATTTTCTGGTGTGATGCCCTGGAATGTGGTAGTCCTACCTTTTCTTCTTTTGTATTTTTCTGGGAGACCAATAATTCCCAAGTTGTCTTACTGAACTCTGTCCTCTAGGTCCATTGCTTGGCTCATAGGGATCTCAAGTCTCTTCCACTTATGTTACTTTTTCATTTTGTTTTAGCTTTGCTCTGCCATCTTTGTATTTTTGGCTTCCATCTATGCCATTCTATTTCTCAGCAAATCCACTTCTTTTTAAAGATTTCCCACTGAACATTCCAAGCTATTAAATCTTGTGCCAGCTTCTTTATGTTCTTCTTTCAATGCCTTGTAAGAATTTGTATAGATACCTGAGCTTTCTTTTTATCTTTTGTTGTTTAGAAAAACAATTTGAAGATTCATAGGAGAGGTCTATATGCTTTTATGGATATCTCTGCAATGGTATTATTATTTCCTTCCGAAGATTTCTCATTGTTTTATTTTTTTTATTCTATATTAATTCATTTTTATTAAATCATGTTTTTGCTTACTCATTTCTTCAGCATATCTGTTCATTTTTCTGGGATTTTTCTCCAAGTGAGGATATTTTTTCCCTCTCTGTATGTGCTTTATTATTGTTCTTTTACTTTATTTGGTGTGCTTATTGCATTTTTTTAGAGGCAATTGGGGTTAAGTGACTTGCCCAGGTTCACATAGATAGTAAGTGTCTGAGGCTGAATTTGAATTCAGGTCCTCCTGACTTCAGGATGAGTACTCTACTCACTTCATCCCCTAGCTGTCCCATTTATGGCTTTTTAAAGGTGAAATGAAGTATCTTCTTGTATTTTACTATTCTTTTCATTTCAACCAACTTTTGTGAAATGCCTACCATGTGCTACGATATACACTAGTTGCTATCAACTAGCTAAGACTAGAAGATACCAATATTCTAGTTAGAGACTGATAAGCTTTATATTCAAGTATAATATCATATATGAAATGCTGTAATGTAATATAACCTGAATACAATACAAAGAAGGTAGTGATAGTTAAGAAGAAAGACTCAGACAAGATAACCTAGGAATACACACACACACACACACACACACACACACACACACACACACATATTTTTGGTGAGGTAATCATGGTTAAGTGACTTGCCCAGGGTCACATAGCTAGTAAGTGTCAAGTGTCTGAGGCCAGATTTGAACTCAGGTCCATCTAGGAAAATTTATGTAGAGAGAAAATACTTTTGGACAGAATGTAAGGATCAGGGAAATCTTCATAGAGGTACTGGCTGAACTGAGCCTTAAAGAAAGAGAAGGCTTTCTAAAGTAGAGATGAAATGAGATTACTTTCTAGGTACAAGGAATAGGTTAAGGGGCCATGCAATAAAGAAGGGCGGTATATCAAGTTTGACACTAGAGATTTTTGAGAGGTAGAGTGGCATGGTCATATAATGTATCAGAAAGATTATTTTGAAAGTGTTGCAAAAGATGTATTGAAAAGATGAGAGACAAGGGGAAAGCCAATTAAGAGGTCATGATAACAGTTCAAATGACAAGTATTGAAAATGAGCTAATATAGTAACTGCAGGAGTGGAAACAAGAAATGTGAAGTAGAATCAAAAGAATTGTCAGCTGACTAAATGTAGAGAATGTGTTAGAAGGAAGAGCTCAGTGTAGCTACATGTTGTCTTCCCTCACATAATCTGAGATTCTTGACTTTCGTCCTTGTATTCTCAGTACCTAGAAAAATTCCTGGCACAAACAGATGCTTAAAAAGTGCTAGTTACTTTCTTGAAAATTCTGAAGTTTCACATCTGGAGTAGTGGAGGGATTGTGATGCCAGCAACAGAAACAAGGAAGTTGGGATGGACAGATTTCTATTGTAGTGGAGGGCAGCAGATGATGGATACATAGAATTTTTTTTGAGTGCTTACTATGTGCATTGCGCTATACTGAGCACCAAAGATAAAAACAAACAAACAAACAAGAAAACAAGATGGTCCCTATTCTCAAGC